TGGCTGCCTTGACATTTACCCAGAATGCCCAAAAACTAATCAGATGTAGATTTTCATACTAAAAATCATCCCTGAAAATTTGAAATTGATCTACCAAACGGTTCACCTGAAAACGCGTAGACAAGACTTTACAGACAAGATTTTAGGACGGAAAAATCCAAAATGGCCGACAATAAAAAAGTGATTATGAGTTTTTGCTGATTTCCTTTTACAAAATTATCACATATTACTACTGTTAACAATAACATAGGCTTTTACAACAAAGTACACCTGAAATTATTTATAAAGCTACTAAATTTACTCGAGTCTCTAGCTTACGGCTAGACGTAACTTCATTGATTTCGTATGTACTCTAGAAAAGATGCTACACGCACCTACACGCACCTAGTACTCATTTTTTATAAATTTTATAAATATTTTTAAGAATATTAATTATATTTAGGATGAAGCATTGCTTGTCTGGATTTAGATATTTCAAAATTTCATTTCGGAGTTTGACACATGGTGACATTTTCTCGCTGTAGCCAGAGGGGGAGAAACACCAGGGTTCAAAGATGACATACGCTTATAATGTAAATCTGTATTGAGATGACATCGTCGCTGATTGGTCAAAAGTCGACAAACAAATAACGTCATCAATGGCGGTTTTAAAATTTTCGAAATACGCTTCGAATAATATTATGTTCATTTCTGGCGTGTTAACCAATATCATAGCTTCTCATTTCACATCAAGATAAAGAAAGGTGTACAGAATGTGCCTATATCAATTAAAACATCCCGTCGAAGTGTAGTATTTGATAACCAGCAGATGGAAATTCGAACGAACGAAGGTGGTAAGCAAGAGAGGTAATTATGTCTGTCATCTTTAAACTCTGGGGCTTTCCCTCCTCTTCGCTGTAGCTAAAAATGGCTTCCGGTTCTGGACGTGAATAAAATGGAGGAAACTTTGAAATTATTCTCGCTTAAAGAAATCAAATATAACAATAGATTCAGACGGGGATGTGAGCTGATGTTTTTCAAATCGTATACATAAAGGTATATTTCATATTATTATGCCATATTTACTGTGCGTGTAACACACTGGTTTACAATATTCATAGTACCAAGGCAGCTCAATCTTCTACTCAAAGCCGGAATATAGAGAAGGCTTTGGACCGAAGTAATACTAAATAGTTAAAGTATGAAAATTGAAAAACACCATTCAATATGATACAAACTATTATCGCGTGCTAACTTTTCTTAAAACATTCAAAATGGCTGAAATGACTGAGCTAACAGGTCCAAAACCTAATCAGATGTAGAATGAAGTGAGCTGAACAAGATGTTAAAGTTTCAAAAGCAACTGTGAAGCCATTTTTCTTAAAGTTTGCAGACAAGGATTTTAGCATTTGACTTCAAAATGGCCGACAGGAAGTAGGTATCCACTTAAATTTTTTTCATTCACATCTAGATGCACTCATAAGTTATCCCTGAAAATTTGAAGATGATATCTGTAGCGGTTTTGGAGAAAACTGCCGGACGTACGGACGGACGGACAGACGGACATACGGACAGACAGACGCGCCTAGGCCGACAATATGGCCCCACACTATGTGGTGGGGACATAACAAAAGTTAGGACATGTATAAATGTTTCTATTTTTACATAATATACTGTTTCAATATGGTCCTTTGATTGCTTATTTTTTATATTCAAAGTACATGTAGTTACAAACATTTAAAATTGTGCTGTAATGTACTGCAAATAAGAAACAGTGATTTAGTAAGGGAGTAGATAAATGCTTGACTTGGTGTTATTCCAACATAATTTGGGGCCATGATTTTGCTTAGCAACCACATAGCAACGGAATATAAATCGAATAAGCGAAATTGAAAAGTTGGGGGAAGGAGGAGGTGGAGGGAGAACACAAAATATATTTCTTAAATCTGGAGAGTGTTAGCATTATAATTATGTTACAACAGTTTGCATAAACATTCAATAAGAAACGAAAAATCAAAGGTATTCGTCAAATATATGCCAGAGTATACGATTCGCGAATATTTCTTGATTAAATGTATTTTAGCTTTAAAAATGCATAAAATAGTGGCTTGATTTACATGAAATTAAGTATGTTGGAAATGCAATTCAATGTGCTAAATGATTATCTCTCAAACAGAGCAATCATCTCTTTGCACTTTCTACAATATTAGAAACAAGGCAGATATCAATACTTTATGAATTTCATTTTTATTGGCATAAATTTCCGACTGTCATCATTTTGTCCCCCAATTACCTCGATTTCAACATTAAAAAGTGTCTTATAGCTGTAACTCAAGGTAAAAAATAAATTAAAAACTAGCAAAAAGTACCATTAAAAAAATCCACCCCCTTGAGACATTAGGGTTATCTATGAGAAAAATGAAAAGAATAAAAAAAAGCATGAGTAATAAAATGTCAGAAATGAACAAACACTAGGAGCACACGCGTCTGGAACTCACGACCACGTGGCTCCTACTAATGCTGGCGCTGAAACCCTCTCGGCCAACTCGACAACAACATATTACTAAGTACCTTCTTGTCTCCTTTATAATGATCCCAATAGTTTCTCGACATCTGCAATGAAACGTGTCTGAACTTGGGATGAACTTGTCTTTGCTGAAACAAAAAGACTATTTAAGACCAGCACAATAATATAAAATTGAATTCTTGAAGAAATGTTATTTAAATATTGCTTTTATAAGCTCAAAACATATTATGTGTTATGTTTAGATTTAAATCAATTTAAATCAAACTTGAAATAAGACAATTCGCTAAATTGTTACAAAAAATTATGAATCCTGAAATTTGATAGAAATTTTGAAAATCCTGTTGCTTAATAGATTGCTGTTTGGCATTCGGGATGAAAAATCTAATATGATCACCCATTGTTTGTGGCCTTGTAACAATTGATATAAATGAAAGGATGGGCTTTGCCCTTGATGAAAGTAATAATCATAGGTTTAATACATAGTTTGAAAATATGTTTTTATCATTCATTTACTATTGTTCATGACTTGTAAATCTCATTGGTTTAGAGAAACTGTTGAAAATTACTAATTTTCGCTAAATTTAACGCAATGGCTACCTTATGCTAGCTATGTCAGATTTTCCATTACCTGTCATCTATTCGTCATTCATTCATAGAGTTATGGTGGTCAGTCACCATTAAATTATGGATAATAAGTTGTGTGTAATTGAACAAAAAGTTTAATTCAAGATTCCAGATTCCAGCCTTTTTACTTCAACACGATTTCTATATCCGATCTCGAGATAAAATTTATGTTCCATTCCATCGATTCTAATTTCCATGACATTGACATTTGAACATTTTTATTTTGACCTACTTTCTGGATACCATATCTCCAAAATGAATCGAGATACCCCGTGGTCGAATAAACTAATGCTTTTAACACATTTTTTACTATCACTATACGAAATTTAGCGTAACATTATGGCGTCAAAAAACCAAGACAAAACAAAGAGCAGCATAGGGCGCAAACAGCCTTACAACGTCAAAAACGACAAGCGTCACATTTTTGTCAAGTTTAGTCAACCTAAAAATAAAATACTTTATCCTTATCTTATCATGACAAAATTCACAGGGTAGCAAGATCTCGAGGGCAATATTTCTAAAATGTTTTTGAATTTTGGAAAACGGTCAAGAAATCCACTTGGGGCGTTGGTAAAAATTGATATGTATGGAATTTGTGGTAGAAAATCGATGCGTCACATTTCTTTCAAGTCTCGAAAACCAGCTCTTATCTTAAAATTATTTGCAAAATAAACAAACTGGTTATTGTTTTGTAAATTTCGCCATGACAATATTGTGCAGTTAATTTTTCTTTCAAATCAGACTTGAATTAGAAGGTTAAATGAAGGTAAACTTATTGCTCGTCCCATTCGCCTTCAAAACCTTACACAATTTTGAAAATTTTAAAAGCGTTCATATATGATAATTTGAACTGTAGCCGTTAAGCTACCCTCCTTATCAGTTGCCCCCTGTGTGGATTCGCTACCTTCGTTATCAGTTGTCTCCTGTATGGATTCGCTACCTTCGTTATCAGTTGCTCCCTGTGTGGATTCGCTACCCTCCTTATCAGTTGTCTCCTGTGTGGATTCGCTACCTTCGTTATCAGTTGTCTCCTGTATGGATTCGCTACCTTCGTTATCAGTTGCTCCCTGTGTGGATTCGCTACCCTCCTTATCAGTTGTCTCCTGTGTGGATTCGCCGGTTCCGCAAAGGTTGCAGCTTTTCTTGCATTGCTTCTGAAACCAGTCCCATTCTTTCTCACCGGAGCAAAACTTGTCCTTAGACAAACTGCACATCAACGGCGTTTCGTCCTTACATTCTAAAGAAAACGTAATACATGCCAATCATTTTTGTCACATGGCGCATAACGTGCATGTACATAATAGATGTCACTCGTTAGACATACGACGTGTGTACGACGTAGTAACATATTCGTATAGGTTTTGCATTATCCAATATCAAAGCATTGCGTCAACCATAAAATAGTTCAATTCGATGAAAACTAAAAATATCGAAATCGACACTTCCCGTCTGCCATCTTAAATGCGAAGGTAACCGCCGTTACATACATTGCTTATATTTCGATCACATAAGCTCCGACTGAGTATTTGCTAAACAAATGCATTTATTTTTGAAGAAAATACTCAATCGGCCTGGTGCAGGTGTAAAAGGGGTAGGTGGTCCTATCAAATTGTGGTCCTATCAAATTTTGGTCCTACTCTCTATTGATTTATATGGTGACCTGATTATTTTCCTTATTTATTTATACACAGCCAGGGCCAGTAAGGGCCGTAAAGAAAGGGGACCATAATCCCCAGGGGACCATAATTTCTTTTACACCGGCCGATGTATCGGATAATAATGTGGATAAATAAATACAGTATGTAGGCGTCAAAAAGCAAATTGATCAAGCAAACCTTCCCCACCAGTCTCTTGTGTAGACTCGCTACCATCGTTATCAGTTGACTCCTTTGTGGATTCGCTACCCTTCTCATCGGTTTCGTCCTGTGTGGACTCGGTACCCTCCTTATCCGTTATCTCTTGTGAGGATTCGCTGGTTCCGCAAAGGTTGCAGCTTTTCTTGCATCGTTCCTTAAACCAGTCCCATTCAGATACACCAGAACAATATTTGTCCTTAGATTTAGCGCATGTTTTCGGCGTTTCATCCTTGCATTCTAAAGAACACGTAATAACATGTCAGTAGCTAGCCATATGGCGAATACCGTATTTTCATAACGGATGTCTCTTGTTTGACATACTACGTTTATGAGTTTCGTCAATGCGACTGTTTTTGTCCCCGTGCTAAAGTTTATAGTATCTAAATGATTTTACGAGCAAAAAATGAAGTAGTGTGGTTTTTTATATTATGGTGTGGTTTAAACTTTATATGGGGCCTTTAAGAAAATGAGACAGAGGACAACACATGTAGTTTAGTTGTTAGTCATATTTGTTTGTTATCTAAATAAAGACAGCTCTGGAGGGAGGTGATTCTTGATATTTGTTTTAAGCAAGTAATAACGTTAATAAAAAGGACATATACAGGGTGGTCCAAAAAATGGGACACTCGTATTTCAAAAATAAAAATTGATATTATTAATGAAAATGTATCATATTATATACCAGTGGATAGGGAATTCACTAATCTTTAATTTGGTATATCATAAGTTCAAATTTATTATAATGCCTATCAACCAGCTTCCGTAATTCAAATGACATAATTTTTGTCTCAAAACGGTTTTGAAAAACTTTTTAAAATGAAATTTTTGTCAACATAAACAGAAGTTCAATATGTCCACTACCGTATTCTAATCAAATATAGCCCTCAATCTTGGCATAAACTTGTTGATATTATCATTGATATGCTTTTGAAAGAATAAATTCCACATCTCCACAACTCTGTCCTTAAGGGACTGAATAGATGTAAGGGGTTCATGGTACACCAACTCTATTAGTTCTCCTCATACGTGGTAGTAGCAGAAGTTAGCATTAGGTGTTCTGGTTTGAGGGGGGAAATTAAGGGGGATGATTCAATATGTCCTGCACTGAGGACTTATTCCTGATCTCATTTTCTGTTAATTACATTTTCCAACAGGAAGGGGCTCCAAACCATAGATCCCACAAGACAGTAAAATATTTAAAGGAGAATGTGCCTCAATTCATACCCCCTTATCACTGGCCAACCAGATCACCTGATGCCAACGTCTGCGACTGCCACGTATGGGGAGTGTATCATGAACTCCTTACATCTTTTCAGTCCCCAAAGGACAGAATTGTTGAGAAGTGGAATTCACTGTCTCAACAGCATATCATTGATGTTACTGATCAGTTAAGGCCAATATTGGGGGCTATAATTGATCAAAATGGAGGACACGTTGAAAATGTTTCTGTAGACAAAAAAATAGTTTTTGTAAGTTTTTGAAAACCTGTTTTGAAACGAAAATGACGTCATTTGTATTATGGACGCTGGTTGACATGTGTTATAATAAATTTGAACTTATGATATACCAAATTGAAAAAAAGTAAATCCCCTATCCACTGGTATATAATATGACATGTTATCGTATATACAATCATTGTTTATTTTTGAAATACGAGTGTCCCATTTTTTGGACCACCCTATATAGAGGATATCCTATGATTTTTGAGAGATACCATTTTTATCCATGAGTGGATATCGCTTATCTCCTATCAAATTTTGGTCAATCGGCTGGGTGCAGGTGTAAAAGGGGTAGGTGGTCCTATCAAATTTTGGTCCTACTCTCTATTGATTTATATGGTGACCTAATTATTTTCCTTATTTTGTATACACAGCCAGGGCCAGTAAGGGCCGTAAAGAAAGGGGACCATAATCCCCAGGGGACCATAATTTCTTTTACACCGGCCGATGTATCGGATAATAATGTAAATAAATAAATACAGTATGTAGGCGTCAAAAAGTAAATTGATTTAGCATACCTTCCGCACCCGTCCCTTGTGTAGACTCGCCACCTTTGTTATCAGTTGTCTCTTGCGTGGACTCGCTACCATCGTTATCAGATGACTCCTGTATGGATTCGCTATCCTTCTCATCGGTTGCGTCCTGTGTTGACTCGGTACCCTCCTTATCCGTTATCTCTTGTGAGGATTCGCTGGTTCCGCAAAGGTTGCAGCTTTTCTTGCATCGTTCCTTAAACCAGTCCCATTCTTTCTCACCGGAGCAAAACTTGTCCTTAGACAAACTGCACATCAACGGCGTTTCGTCCTTACATTCTAAAGAAAACGTAATACATGCCAATCATTTTTGTCATATGGCGCATAACGTGCATGTACATAATATATGTCACTCGTTAGACATACGACGTGTGTACGACGTAGTAACATATTCGTATAGGTTTTGCATTAAGACCGCGGTTGAGCTGTCATTAATGTAGGCGTCAAAAAGCAAATTGAACGAACATACCTTCATCATCAGTACTGTTCTGTGTGGATTCGCTGGTTCCGCAAAGGTTGCAGCTTTTCTTGCATCGTTCCTTAAACCAGTCCCATTCAGATACACCAGAACAATATTTGTCCTTAGATTTAGCGCATGTTTTCGGCGTTTCATCCTTGCATTCTAAAGAACACGTAATAACATGTCAGTAGTCTGGTAGTTAGCCATATGGCGAATACCGTATTTTAATAACGGATGTCTCTTGTTTGACATGCTACGTTTATGAGTTTCGTCAATCTGACTGTTTTTGTCCCCGTGCTAAAGTTTATAGTATCTAAATGATTCTACGAGCAAAAAATGAAGTAGTATGTTTTTTTTTTATATTATGGTGTGGTTTAAACTTTATATGGGGCCTTTAAGAAAATGAGGCAGAAGACAACACATGTAGTTTAGTCGTTAGTCATATTTGTTTGTTATCTAAATAAAGACAGCTCCGGAGGGAGGTGATTCTTGATATTTGTTTTAAGCAAGTAATAACGTTAATAAAAAGGACATATAATACAGTTTATCCTATGGATACTAAATATATATGGGGATAACAACACAAAATAATTTTGGTATACGACACTAAAATCGTATCCGATCAATATGACGTGATATCTAATCGTATCCGACGGATACTACTTTTTCAAAGTTTTAAATTTACACCTAAATGGTTTGACAAATAACAGCCTTGCCAGATCTGCTGATTGAACTGCCAGAATATAGTTCCAAGTATTATCGGGCTTAATATGATGATTTAGATGCCTTCGTGTAATCACTTTGTATAAAACGTGCTCAATTTGAGTAAATTCTTCACACATTTTGAAATAAATGTTGCTTTATTGATTTTGTTTTGATTTTATGCGCAGGCTTTTCTAGAACACGCCTAGTAATACAGTCCAGGACAAGAGTAAACAAGAACACAAATGTGTACAAAATGTCCCCACCAATGGGTGATCCCGTCAAATGGTTATCCAGAAAATGAGTAGACAAGACTTTACCAACACAATTTGAGGATGGAAAATCCAAAATGGCCACCTTAAAATTTAGTCAGTTCTAGATTTTCATATTAAGAACCACCCCTGAAAATTTGAAATTGATCCGTTAGACAGTTAACCAGAAAACATGTAAACAAGACTTTACAGACAAGATTTCAGGATGGAAAATCCAAAATGACTGCCTTGACATTTACCCAGAATGTCAAAAAACTAATCCGTTGTAGATTTTCATACTAAGAATCATCCCTGAAAATATGAAATTGATCTACCAAACGGTTCACCTGAAAACGGGTGGACAAGACTTTACAGACAAGATTTTAAGACAGAAAATCCAAAATGGCTGCCTTAACATTTACGCAAACTGCAAAAAACTAATCAGATGTAGATTTTCATACAAAGAATCATCCCTCAAAATTTGAAATTGATCTATCAAACGGTTCACTTAAAAACGTACACGTTTCTACATAGACAAGACTTTACAGGCAAGATTTTAAGACTGAAAATCCAAAATGGCTGCCTTGACGTTTATCCAGAATGCCAAAAAAACTAATCAGATCTAAATATTCATTCAAAGAATCATCCCTGAAAATTTGAAATTGATCTACAGAACGGTTCACCTGGAAATGCGTAGACAAGACTTTACAGACAAGATTTTAGGACGGAAAATCCAAAATGGCTGCCTTGACATTTACCCAGAATGCCAAAAAACTAATCAGTTCTAAATTTTCATACTAAAAATCATCCCTGAAAATTTGAAATTGATCTACCAAACAATTCACCTGAAAACGAGTAGACAAGACTTTACAGACAAGATTTTAGGACGGAAAATCCAAAATGGCTGCCTTGACATTTATCCAGAATGCCAAAAAACTATTGAGATCTAGATTTTTATACTAAGAATCATCCCTGAAAATTTGAAATTGATCCACCAAACGGTTCACCTGAAAACGCGCAGACAAGACTTCACAGACAAGATTTTAGTACCGAAAAGTCCAAAATGGCCGACAATAAAAAAGTCCATATGAGTTTTTGCTGATTTCTTTTTACAAAATTATCACTTATAACTACTGTTGACAATAAAGTAGGCTTTTACAACAAAGTACATCTGAAATTATTTATAAAGCTACTAAATAGTTTAAGTATGAAAACTCAAAAACACCATTCAATATGATACAAAGTATTATCGCGCGCTAACTTTTCTTAAGACATTCAAAATGGCTGAAATGACTGAGCTAACAGGTCCAAAACCTAATCAGATCTAGAATGAAGTGAGCTGAACAAGATGTTAAAGTTTTAAAAGCAACTGTGAAGCAGTTTTTCTTAAAGTTTGCAGACAAGGATTTTAGCATTTGACTTCAAAATGGCCGACAGGAAGTAGGTTTCGAGTTAAATTTTTTTTCATCCACATCTATAGGCACTCATAAGTTATCCCTGAAAATTTGAAGGTGATATCTGTAGCGGTTTTGGAGAAAACTTCCGGACGTACGTACGGACGGACGGACATACAGTCGGACGCGCCTAGGCCGACAATATGGCCCCACACTATGTGGTGGGGACATAATAAACCATGTCAGCGAGTTTGGATCAAACAATTCTTACCAAAAAACACCCGATTCGGAACAAAGCAGTAATGATATCAAATCAACGATAATTCTAGTGAAATCGACAGACCAACTTCCAAGTTTCTAGACTTGATCACTGTTAAATTTTTTGAGGAGTTTTTAACATAAAGAAATAAAGGTAGCTGTAATAATACAGGGTGACAAAAAAAAACTGGAACCCATAAATCATCAAATTTCTCGGAATGTATTATACCTACATTCTTCATTTCTTCAGGGTAGAAACTAGACTGAATGCTTAACAAAATGACACAACAATGAGTACTGTAGCTTAGATATTAATCATGCCATGGACGACAGAAAAAAAGACTTATATTGTGAGAAAGTATATCGAGACAAAATCCTATTAAGAGACACAAACTGCCTATAGGAGAGATCACAGGGCAAGAAGAGCCCCTTGCAAGTCACAGATCTTTAGTCTTGTACAGGAGTTTGATTCAGAAGGAACTGTAAAACCAACAAAGAAGAAAGGTGATGGTAAACCAACCTATTCGGGGAGAGAGAGAGAGGTCTGTCAGAACTCAAGACAATTCAACAGTCAACTCAGCACGTTACATCCCTAACGTTCAAAAGTTTTGGAGAGCGCTGGGAAGACGACGTGAGAAGGGACCAGCAATGGTTCCAACAAGATGGTGCCACACCCCACACCTCAAATGAGTCCTTTCGATGGCTTCAGGCTCACTTTGGTGATCGATTAATCAGTCACCATACCCGCCACATCTGCCCCCCCCTCCCCTGATTTGAACCCCCCAGATTTTTATCTGTGGGGGTATCTCAAAGATAATGTGTAAACAGATAGTCCACTGACCATTGATGACCTCAAACTCAACATTGGAAGACTAATTAGAGAGATAGACAGAGATGAATGCAGTAGGGTCATTGACAATTTTGCAAGAAGAATCCAGCTCTGCATTTAACGTCATGGTGCACATTTGGAGCACATTATCTTATCGTGCCTCATTTGGAGACTAATTGAGCTACAATGCTAAAACTTTAAAATCTTGTCATACATTCAGTTGACTATACATGTACCAAATAACTAAGCTCAATATGCATCATTGAAGAAGTTATTAAGACTTAAGTGGGTTCCAGTTTTTTTGTCACCCTGTAGATGTCGTTTGTTAGGCAAACGTGCGAGATACATGAGTAATGCTTAAACTTTATTATTTCAGTACTTCATAATACTGGTTTTCATAGCACTATTTCTGAACTACAAAATATTTGTGAAGTGTCTGACAAAATTAACAAAAATAAAACTGATGCAGAAAGACTAAACTAGATATAGGGGAAAAGGAAAGTTGAACTCGTATTGTCGGAATCGTCGGATGACCCCTTGTAATTTTCTGTCATGAACATTTTTTTCTATTAACGTAATTGCTATAGCTACAATGAAATCTTTTGGGAGGTCCTGAACATGTCTTTTAGATGTCTGCACAACAATATAACCATATTTTTTATTAATTTATTGAATACAAAACATATGTTTTAAAATTGGCTTCGGGCATTTATAGGTAGAAATTCGTATGGTAAACCTTGTCACTCAGCAGATGAAATAACGCTTAGTGCAATAGCAAACTACGTCAATATATTCGCTATTTTATTTATTTATTTTATTTGATATTTGTTCATTTCCATTGAAGTTTGGCAAAGACATGCATTGTCAAATTCTGCATCTTTCAATTCCATTTTCGAGCCAATTGCCATATTTAAACAAAAACTATGGTTACCATATAATCGGGATTGATGCATCACCGAAGCTGCCAATAATTTTACCGTAATTCTACTAACAGTAAGGGTATATTATATACAGTTTTTTAAATACATAGTTTAATGGACATTGACCTTATATTCAGAACAATAGTCGGGATGACATATTTGAAAAAATTAGTCACAATTGATTCACAATGGCCGGGATGACATATTTGAAAAAATAAAGAAGTCACAATTGATTCGCGTATGCATCAAAAAATTAGACTCAAAGCTTCATCAAGAAGCAAACATGGTAATTGCAAATCTAAGAAAACAGCTTCTATTCAAATACCAGTGAAAATGGTACACACATTAAAAAACCTGTTGAGGACCTGCAGTGCAGATGTTATTGCTTCATTAAACATTAGTTCAAAAGGTTTCAACTTGGCCGCAACTCAATTAATGATGATGTCAGTGTAAGGTCAGGCCGTTACTCAACAATTTGAGAACAAAAACTAGCGAGTCTACTGATCTGCGCCCTTCTCTCTCTCTTGGTTAGATTCCTCAAAATTCAGTCTGATGCTACATTATGCAATGTTCTGAATATCATGTCGGTGTCCAGTAAACAATGTATATAAAACATCACCCAAACTGAATGTTTTTGTTAGTAGAAATGGGCATGATAAAGACATTGTTGTATGCGCAATTACAGTAAAGTTATGGGCATTTCCGATGACGCATTACTCCCGTTGCTATGACAACCATAATTGTTTGCCATATGAGGTTATTGGCTCGAAAATGGTATCGAAGGATGTGGGATTCGACACTGCTTGTCTGTGCCAAATTTCTATGGCAATGAACCAAATTAAAAGAAAATATAACCAAAAATTGCGAATATATTGATCGGCCCTTGTATAGAAAGACTATTTACGCAAATCTTAATGCTCTATCACTGGTATTACACGCACGATTATATTAAAAGACATGCTTTGAAGACATCCTAGACATACTACGTCACGCAGGATACAGAATGGACAATAATATAAAGATGGAGGCGTTAAATGCATTTCTGATTTCACATACCTTCGCTACCTTTCTCATCAGTAGTCTCTTGTGTGGATTCACTGTTTTCGCAAAGGCCGCAGCTCTTCTTGCATCGCTTCTTAAACACGTCCCTCTCGTATTTACCAGAACAATGCTTGTTTTTAAACCTATTGCATAAACGCGGTGTTTTGTCCCTGCATTCTAAAAGAAGTGTAACGCATGCCAATTTTAAGTCGTATGACGTTTAACGCACATGTACATACACATAATGCATGTTGCCCTTAGAAAGAAGACGTTGAACCTGAGACTAACATAAAATGTTAGTTACAGTAGTTATGTTAGTCTCAGGTTGAACTGAACTTTAATTAACATTTGTACCAATCGATTTTAAAGTGCTTGAAATAATAAATGTGGACCTTGAGGATAAAATAATACAGAACTTGATATTTTAATGATTGTAAAAAATATTTTACATTCGCGCATCATAGGCCTATTCTCAAGTGTCAACGACAATTAAGTATATGTATTATATTTCGAAAGATATTTGATAAGGTTAATTAATGAGATTAAAATCGGTTCAACAATTATTACTGAATGTAAAAATATCATTATAAAATATGCAATATTAAAATTCATGGTGATAAAAACAAATACCTTCAGCGGTGGATCCGATGACTAGCAGGGCAAAGACGGCGAGTATCCACGTAAAGCCTTTCATCTTAGAGTGACTGCCAAAAGGCGTTTGACAAGACAAATCTAAATCGCCAATATGTAAGGTTTTGGACCCGATGTTAAGTGTGCATAGAGGCGTGAATAAACAGTCAAACGTTCACTTATCAGTACGTTAAGACAGTTGTACAACCGGATGCCAACAAATAGGCCAAATACTTGAAACGCACCAGGGAAGACATGTACACCCCATGCAGAGAGATCGCCTAAAATTACATTCGTATAATGAAAGACTCGACATTCAACAGGAAACTAGAAACATTTTGTCTCCGATGTAACAAAATTTTGTTAACTGCTTAATAAATGGTGAATGACAGTCAAATTAAGTTCTACAAGTATATAGCATGACGTTCAAGCTAACTCGGTAATTGAAATTACGGTGTAAAGATAAAGCCGCAACAAAATATTTGTAGATTAGAAAAATACATATCATATCAAACTTTTCAAACCAGAATAATATGTATTAATAGTAAGGCATGCAGGTCCGATTCCCTCTGGTAGCATTAACATTGGTCTCGTTTATGTCATACAATTACATCCTCCTAAGCAGGTATCCAGAATCCGTACCTCTTTCCCCCTGCTATAACCAATTTGGAAGTGCACGTGATCTAATTATGCGCAATGACTTATACATGATTGATTTCTGTCGCACTGTTGCGACAGCCAATCAGATTGCGAGTTCTTAATCGGGGAAATACTAACTGCTTATCGCAGGGGGTAAAAAGAAAGAATATATTCTGGATTTTGAAGCCCTGTGATCGGAGGATGATACAATTAATATTTTGTAATACAAATATTATCCGAACTTAAGATCGGACACAATAATGATTTATAAAGTAACATCATAGAGATTACTTTGAATAGATCTTTACAGCACTTTAGTACTTTGATACACACAGGCAATATATCACAAAAACAGCCCCATACTATCATGGGGTTGGATCGTCTAATTTTTAGTAGAATCCAGAGTAGGACATTTTACTTAAAATAACGATTATTCGTCACAATTATCTTTCTAAACTTAAAGGGTTACGATAACACTCTACCTACCACGTGACCCCATTAAAAAGGGATACAGCCGACAGTGTAGTTGCAAATGGAGGAAGTGAGTTTTTCCATAGTTCTGAAGTTTAACTAGATTTTACATATTTTCTTAGTGTTATACAAGGGGCGAGGCAGTTATAAATTTTATTAAACACAATTAAACAATCAAAACAGTAATTCAATTTCAGGGCACCAACGGGGGTACAGGCAGGCAGTAAAACAGATTGTATTTAAATTTTATATATTTTTATACTAACTATGAATATGACTCAATAACATTATATTGTATTTAAATTCACTTAAAGCGGCAGTAGAAATGCCCTTTATGGGCGATTACGCCGTGATTACAATGTAAATTTATTTAATGATTTAAAGAAATAAATGAGTATTTATTAAAAAAAAATACAAGGGGCGATCCATATATTCTGATAAAAATGCTCTAATTTTGCTATTTTTTCACATATCCATCTCATATTTTCAGAAAATGTAGATTATGTAATTACACATACAATGCTCAAATATTATAGCTACATCTTAAATTAATTAAGAGATAGTGTTACCATGGTAACCTGTATCAAGCGTAGGCAGGTCAATTAAATTATAACGTATAAAATATCATAATAACTTGTTATTTTAATTATTTTAAAGCATGCGAAAATCATACATTTTTAAAAAAAAATTTGGTTTTGTTTCTTGTTATTTGTTGCTAAACAAATGTTTATTTGTGATCACTATAACATCACAACAACTCACAACAGTAATGTATGACAGGATGGGCAAATTGGAATTACATGTCATGAGACACACCAAATATCAAAATGACAGATCAGATGAGGTTAGTGCGGCTGTTGCAGAGTGTGACATTAACAGATACATTAGGAGTACCATTAGATTTTATGTACTATCAAGAATAAGTAAGAGGACACTGCCAGAGCCATACATGGACTCGTATAGTGTATGAACAAGGTGTTATATCTGCTCTAAGGATCTCTACGTAGTATTGTAAATTTGAGGAAGGCTAGTCACTGTTGAATATCATTCCCAATCTGGTTGTAAGAAGAGCTTGCGGAGAGAGAATAACACTACGATAATTTGAGATGCAATTTATGAAAAAAGAACTATTTCCACTGTGGAAATAGCAAACAAGGGCAACAGGGGTATGGAGCAGTTCAACGAATAGTTGGCAATGACCTGGATATGCGTTTGATCTGCTTGAAATAGGTACCGAGGAATGATTAAATTAACAAATTTATCTATTTCATACGTTATAATTTAACTGACCTGCCTACCCTAAATACAAGTTACCATGGCAACCTTATCTCAAAAATAATTTAAGATATAGCTATAATATTTTAGCATTTTATGTGTAATTACAAAATCTTCAAGTTCTGAAAAAATGAGAGGGATATGTGAAAAAATCACAAAATGAGAGCATTTTTATCAGAATATATGGATCGCCCCTTGTATTATCCATAGTATAGATTCATCGAGGAGTTTGCAGTGTATCATTACCAGAAACCCCCTATAGACAAAGAACACTTGGCACAGTAAAGTTACGATTGAAGGCAATATAAGATACGTTTTAGTACTTCCATAAATGTACAGGGCACTGGTCAGTTTCACTTGGACTTTGTAACTTCTTTTAACTTTGATATGCAACAAAATCCCCATTCGATTGTTATTTAGATTGCGTGTCATCGTGTTATACGCATATACGTTTTATATCATTTTATTCAATAGCATTTTCATGTCAAGTAATTGTTTCTCTAAAATTTAATGATGCCAGGAATGCAACTTAAGATGCCGTAATAGGGGAAAACAACTTACTTTGTTTCCATATAGATACATGTTAAATTGAGAAAATTCAAATTTAAATTTCTCAAAAGTCAGCTCATCGAGATCGTGTTGTCCTTATAAAAAACTTCTCATTCCTTTATATGGTGAGAAAAATATCCCACGAACGAAAAATGTATGATTTACAGCGAGCATTGATTTTTGGGTCTGCAAAAACCGTTTGGGATGTGATTATGCCGGCGATTTACTGAGACCGGCTTAACTATAATTTAATTTTTGGTCCTCAATTGTAATCTGTCGGTGGTCCCTGACATTCCTGGCTCCTGCTAGCATGTACACATATATGCCATACATGCTTAGTAATGTAATGAAAACCCTTCAGGTAGTGATATCTACTAACAAATAGGCATTTTAGAAATATAAGCTATATTATCATATGTATGTTCTTACTGTTCTCAGCTTGGAATGAAAATTAGATCATTTACATTTACCGGTTTACAAATGTCCCATTGTACATTGATCATAAACATGATCGATTTTGGTATAAAGCCATCAATTGTGGCCGCATATATCACCTTACTATCCAGCACCTTGTACTGTTGAACAGTTTACATTGCCCGTGTCTTAACTTTTCAGATTCAGTGACTTGTATTAAGACATTTAAAACGATCTGATTTATATTCTTCCTTGTAAAGTCACATAGGTTTGAACACGTACTATTTCACCATTGAAGTTCAGCGAATAATAACAATATGACACATCAATAACACCAAACGTACTACGCTTTTCGAGTAGCAGTCGATATACTGGGGAGGTTAAGCTACCGTATAAAATCCAAAACGCAACTTAAACGTATCAATCGCCCCTATACAAATACATGTAGAGTTCACACATAAATACTGGATGAGCGTGGTGTAAAAGTGGTTTTGAAAAGTAGCAAATTTCTCTTCATGTAGGTTATTTGTGGTTTATGATTCTACATTGATTCTGAAAATACCGGTGTCTAGTTTTTCAGCGTTTTTGAAATATTCAGATTTATACCCCCCTTGTTTGATTTTGAGGGGGGTACTAGGAAGGCCATGTAAAATTCCTAGAATTTACAACCAATCATTTTGATATTTACAGGTAATCATGTACTTATCATGTCCTACAAACGTCATAAGTTTCATCAAAGTTAGTCAACTGGTTGCTATGGAAACGGAGATCATATGTCAAAAAGTACACAATTTCGTCAAAATGTAAGACACCCCATGAGACAAAACACATATCATTTTCATGAAATTTGGAAGAAACACCATAAAAACATTTTAGAAAACTTATTCAGAGTATGTTTGATAATATTAAATCAACTACTGTTTAATCTTATCCACACAGTAAAATCTATTGCTCTTGTTTATATGGCAATGCAAATTAATTTAGAAAGGGGATGTGGCACTTTTCCAAAGAATTCTTAACTTGTGTCGAAATTTTTGAAGAAAATAAATAATAGGCGGGCGGAATTGGAGGTCCAAAAAAAAGTTTAATGTACAGTTGCAACATATTCTCGTATTTGGTACCGTTGGAAAGCTTGTGGTGCCTAGATTTGAGATCCACTTGTTAGCAATTACGAAATGTGGGCCGAATGTGTCTAAAACGCCCGTTTCCATGGTAACCACAAAAATATGGTGTTAATAAGCAGAAAATTGTTTTTATGCATAACTTCACTAATATTGCTCTGATTTTAATGAAATTGATATCAAATTAAAGAGAATTAAAAGTCCCATGTTTTAAAATAACATTTATGCAAATTAGCTCATTTGCATATTGATTGTGACGTCATCACTGCATTATTTTGCGTATTTTTGATAAACGAGTATATTTATTTCAGTACAGTAATGTACAGTTGCAACATATTGATGAATTTGGTACCGTTGGAAAGCTTATGGTGCCTAGATTTGAGATCCACTTGTTAGCAATTACGAAATGTGGGCCGAATGTGTCTAAAACGCCTGTTTCCATGGTAACCACAAAAACATGGTGTTAATAAGCAGAAAATTGTTTTATGCATAACTTTACTGAAATTGCTCCGAATTTGATGATATTGGTATCAAATTAAAGGGAATGGAAATTTCAATTTTTGAAAATAACATTTATGCAAATTAGCTCATTTGCATATTGATTGTGACGTCATAACTGCATTATTTTGCATATTTTTAGATAAATGAGTATATTTATTTCAGTACGGTTATTTGAAGTAACAACATATGAATGAATTTGGTACAGTCAGAAAGCTCATGATTCCTAGTTTTAAGATCTGCTAAATAGCAATTCTGAAAAGTGGACCGAATGCATCTAAAATGCCAATTTCCATAGTAACCACAAAACATGGTGTTAATAAGGAGAAA